TGTTCAGAATCTTGCTGAGCATTTGATGTTAATATGCACGTGAGCCCAGGTGTTCCTTGGTTATTGTCCAGTGTAACTGCACGTGTACCCAGGTGTTCCTGGGTTGTCTGACTCACACCCAAGTATCCTGGGTTATCGGACTTAAGTATAAAGGACAAGTGGCTCTGATCCACAGGGCCCCCCCCACCCCCAGGGGGGCCACAGGGAGGCCATTACTGCTGCTGGAGGCTGCTGCTGCATCTGCTGAAGGCTGCTGTAAGGTGCTGCTGCTGCTAAGGAAGCTGAGGACTAAACTCATGTCATCTGCCAACAGCTCCCAGGATCTTTCCCAATTACCTACCTTCTGGACTTGTGTGAGGGGTCTGTGACCCTGTCTGTACAAAGGGTTTGAAGGGTCTGTGAGCCCTAGCCCTTAGCAATACAATTGGCTACGTCGGCAGGATTCCAAAAATAGTCATCCTAACCCGACACAACCCTCACCTTTAGTTCCTATCTGATGCTTCTGAGCACTAAATAACTACAGCCAGAGTTTTCAAAATCTTTGGGTTGGGTCTAGGTAATAATCACCATCCCACAAGTGAAGAACTGTCATATCATGTCACTTCCTATAAAGCAAACTGCTAAGCTCTCCTTTGCCAATTAACTCTCTGTATTAGTCCGTTTCTGTTGCTTACAACAAAGTACCTGAAACTGGATGATTTATAAAGAAAAGTGAAACTTATTGCTTACAGTTTCTGAGGCTGGGAAATCCAGTCCAACTGGTGGTGGCAACAGTGACCTGAGGTTTCACATTGCAAGATGCTGGAAGCAGAGAGAGCAGAGAGAGACATTCTCCTCTCCTTTTAAAGCCCTCAGAACCACGCCCCGACCATCATTTTTAATCCATTCACTACTGCAAAGTCCTACAATCTAATCACCTCTTCAAGGCCCCACCTTTCAATTACCTTAATAGGATTTCCCACCCTCTTTTAACAGTCACAGTGGGGACAAAGTTTCTAATATATAAAACTTGGGGGACACAATTCAAGCTTCAGGGAGTTTGGGGGGTACATAATTCAATCCACTACACTCTCCTTCAATTTGTCTTAATGGTTCAGTATGACTTGCTCTGGGCCTTTCAGTAATCTTAGATGTTATTAACATTGTAGGGCCACTCCCAGACCTCTAGGATTCTTAACTTTTCCCAGTCGGAACAGAGCAATCTTTCGTGTTTTCCACCTGATGAACAGGAAGAAAGCCTACGAGTATTGCTATTAGTTTGTATGTTAAGCTGACTTATACTTTCCTAAGAGTTCATGTTTCAAATTCAGAAACAAGTTTGGTGGGTTTTTCTCTTAAGTATCCACTGCCATTGCCAATCCTTTTTTTTCCCTTTTCAGCAGCTGGCCAGTACAGGGATCACACCCTGTACCTTGGTGTTATCAGCACCATGCTCTAACCAACTGAACTAACCAGCCAGCCCACCTAATCCTTTTGGTGACCATCAGAAGTATATCTAATTTTTCTGTGATCTGCCCATGGACTACTAGGTATGTATGGTGAGGGGACGGGGGGCAGGAAAATGTTTTGTTGGGGTAGGAAGTTTAGATGTGCCAAAAGAAAGGGGAAATACTGAAGGACTATCAGGCAGTCCAGTGATAGCAGAGTGGGACTGAGATGCTAAGAGTGAGATACGAGGCTGGCCAGTTAGCTCAGTTGGTTAGAGCACGGTGTTATAATGCCAAGGTCAAGAGTTCAGATCTTCATACTGGGCAGCCACCAAAAAATAAAAAAGGTAAAATAAAATAAAAAAATTTTAAAGAATGGGATACAGACACCTAATGTGAAAGTATCTCAAAAGTTCACTTTGGTGTGCAAGCATCAAGAGTGCAAAACACTGGAATCTATTTCATATCCTTAGTGCACTGATTTTTTTTTTTTTTGTCTTTTGTCGTGTCCGGCAACGGACTGCAACCCTCAGTGTCGCGCCCACACCGGACCAGGACCGGCAACGGGATCGCAACCCTCAGTGCTGCGCCCGCCCCTCGCTCAGCCAGTGAGCGGGAACCGGTCTGTATGTGGGATCCGAACCCTCGGCGGGAGCGCCGCCGCACTTTCCAAGCGGCGCACTGTAGCAGTGCACCACCGGGCCAGCCCTAGTGCACTGATTTCTAGTGCAGTGTTCTCTCCTTTGATTCTCCATGTAATTGCTGGTAAGATATTAACACTTATCTTTTTTGGTTCTGTTTTCAAGGGAAAAAACTTTGTTCTCAATGTGCACACTTTTCTTCTTAATACTTTTCTGTACTGCTAAAATTTTTTTACAGTGATATTCCACTTATATAAAAAGAAAAGCTAGGGCCAGCCCGGTGGTGCACTTGGTGGAGTGCTGCGTGCGGCGGCGCTCCCGCCAAGGGTTCGGATCCCATATAGAGACCGGTCCACTCACTGGTTGAGCGCGGTGCAGGCGCGACACTGAGGGTTGCGATCCCGTTGCCGGTCACGGTACGGGCGCGACACCGAGGGTTGCGATCCCGTTACCGGTCATGAAAAAAGACAAAAAAGGAAAAAAAAAAAAAGAAAAGCTAAAGGAACAATGTTGTTTTTTTTTTTTCTCTTTTTGTCTTTTTTCGTGTCCGGCAATGGATCGCAACCCTCAGTGTCGTGCCCGTACCGTACCGGGACCGGCAACGGGATCGCAACCCTCGGCGCTGCGCTCGCACCTCGCTCAGCCAGTGAGTGGGAACTGGTCTGTATGCGGGATCCGAACCCTCGGCGGGAGCGCCGCCACACTTCCCAAGCGGCGCACTGTAGCAGTGCGCCACCGGGCCGGCCCTAAAGGAAACAATGTTAAATTTAAAAACTCTACAGTTGGAAAGGGAAGGGACTCAGAATGAAGCTAGTTGTGTTTGCTATTCCCCTCCCTACCCTAAGCCTCCAAGCAAACACAGCTTTCAAAACTCTCAAAACGAAGATAACACCACTACACATCCTATGTCCTTTTCTTAGCACCATTTAAAGTATTAAAGAACAGCTTTTTAAATTCAAAACAGTAAACATCACAGTCTCTTAAGAGCAATACATTTAATACATTCACAGGGTTTCAGAAGAAAAAAACACATTATTCATGCTACAGGTTTTCAATCTTCCTCGGACAACACAAAAAACACAGTACTCAAACTGCATGTTTTAACAAAAGGAATGTGAAATTTCATTTTGACACAGAGACAGGTTAAAAAAAAAAAAAAAACCAATGTCGAACTACTCCAGAACCAGACTTCCCTAAATCCCCTACCCTCTCACACTCTGGAACTCTCACAGCTGCCTTCTAAACCAGCACAAGGAACACTCTCCCTCAACATTTCTTCTTCCCTACCCAACATTACAACAAAAATATTAAATATTTAGAGGTGTGTCATTGAATGAGCACTACTACATCATGCTAAAAAAAAAAAAAAAGAAAAAGTCAGTTTATGGGCCGGCCCGGTGGCACACTGGAGAGTGCGCCGCTTGAGAGCGCGGCGGCGCTCCCGCCGGGGGTTCGGATCCCATGTGGAGACCGGTTCCCGCTCACTGGCTGAGCGCGGTGCAGGCGCAACACCGAGGGTTGCGATCCCGTTGCCGGTCCCCAGTATGGGCGTGACACCGAGGGTTGCGATCCTGTTACCGGTCAGTAAAAAAGACAAAAAGGAAAAAAAAAAAAAAAAAAAAAGAAAAAGTCAGTTTATTTGTTGAGTGTTGAAAAGGGGGACTAAGATTTGGTGAAACTTAAAGGGTAATGAGAAAACTGTGACGTGTTAGTTTTCCTCAATTCATTATGATTTTAGAGAACAGGAATTGTACCCAAAGGTTAAGGTAAGGAACTGAAGATAACAAGAGATACCCCAAACATTAATCATAGAAACTATATTAATGTTTATAAAGAGCTTATAATAACATGGAAAAATATTTAAGTTATAAAGTTAAATGAAGAAGTAAGACACAAAACTGTATATATATCTGAGGGTACATCAAAAAGTTCATGGAAAGATTTGTATTATCTTTTAATTATATTTTTCCATGAACTTTCTTTTTTTTTTTTTCCCTTTTTTGTCTTTTTTCGTGACCGGCAATGGATCGCAATCCTCAGTGTTGCGCCTGTACCGGACCGGGACCAGCAACGGGATCGCAACCCTCGGTGTTGCGCCTGCACCTCGCTCAGCCAGTGAGCGGCTGGTCTGTATGTGGGATCCGAACCCTCGGCGGGAGCGCCGCCATACTCCCAAGCGGCGCACTGTAGCAGTGCGCCACCGGGCTGGCCCCTTTCCATGAACTTTCTGAAGTACCTTCATACACTATGACCTCAACTATATAAATACAAACCAACCAAAATGTGCCCTAAAAAAAAAGGCCGAAAGGAAATAGTTCAAAATGTTAATAATGGCTGTATTTAAGTAGTGTATCTACAGGGATCTTTTTTCTCTCTTACTTTTCTTCTAAATTTTTCTCTACTGGGGGGATTTTTATTTATTTATTTATTTATTTATTTATTTATTTATTTATATTTTATATATCTTAAGATGTTGTGGAGCAGCTGGAAGGGGGATGAAGGGAGAGGAGCATACTGTGGAAGACGAAGGGGGAGGCGTGGTCTAGGCCTGTGGCACCCCCCTCATTCTGACAGGGGAACCCAGGGGTCTTCTGGCAGTGACTCAGTAATAGCTTGGCTGGATGTGGTCTTCAAGAGGGCATGACTGAGGCCATTGGGAGCCCAGCATGCTTCCAGCTGTGGCCTGGTGGTCATTTTTGGGCTGA